ATGGTATTGAATTATATTTAAGAGCATAGACAAAGACAGATGGGTATTAACTCCAATTATTTGTGAAAAGTTTTTATGAGGGGAAACCCCCCCACAACTTACTATATGGCTCAGTTTTGAAGAATATTTATTATAATACTGATCACTGATGTAAGTAAATTACAAGAGTTGTATCAGGAAAATGAGAATATGGGAAGTATGCATGAAGATGATGGCAGTAAGTGGGAGAGATTTAGAGGAATTCCTAAAATCCAGAAGTCCCAATAAAAACATGTTATTTAGAGACAAAGAGGTGAATATAAAAAAAAATCAACTAAAAGGCAAAAGAGATTATCTCTGTAAAGGAGAAATTTGGCTTATGTTGGGGAGAGAAGCTGGGGGACTAGGTTTTTCTTTCTCTTTTTCTGGTGGGACTAGTGTTTAAACTCGGCTTCACGCTTGCAAAGCATGAAGCCACACCTCCAGTCCACTTTACTCTGGCTATTTTGGAGACAGGGTCTCTTGAACTATTTGCCCTGGGCCTCAAACCTTGATCTTCCTGATCTCAGCTTCCCAATACTAGCATTACAGGCATGAGCCACCAGCACCCAGTGAGTTTTTTTGTTTTTTTTTTTTTAATTATAGAACTAGTTGACTCTTGGCTGTATAACCCTGATTAATATTAACTTGCAAGAATGATGTTATCAATGTTATTGTAAGAGTCTACAGCCCAGTGAAAAAGGAAGTTGAGCAGTCGTGGGAATTCTGTGGTGTCTATGCGAAGACCCTGGGGATAAACACACAATGCATTAAAATTCCATTGTCTCTTTGTGGACACTTGACTTGAAGAAGCAGTCACTTGCTAGCTGTCAAGTTTGAAGTACATTGGGAAAATGTTTCTAAGCAACTAACACACATGAAATGAAAATCAAAGACACTGGAGTCATTTAAACTCATTTAGGCATTTGTTACAGTTTTTGTTTTATTTAAATAGAGGGAATAATTCTCTTTTTTAGGAATATAATTATACGATATAACTAAACTCAAGAGGTTTGCAGTGGGCACAAGCTTAACTTTATCCTGTATAGTATTTATAAGCTGGATTCACAAAGGCTGTTTGTGTGTGCGTATGTGTGTTTGTGGTGCTAGGGACAGAAACCAGAACTTCATGCATGTGAGGTAAGCTATATCCCTAGCCCCACACCAACACTGGTATAACATAAAAATTCTCCTAGGTTCAAACCTGTACCAGGTATTTAATTTCCATCTCTAAGGCATAATCTATATCATATTTTGAGAAGAAATGACATTTTTGTAATCTTTAAATAGTATTTTAGACTATAAGCCAATAGGTAGATTAATGAGAAGTTTTTTATTTTTTGCTGTATTAGGGATCATGCATGCTAGGCAAACACTAAACTACTGAGCTACATTCCCAGCCCTTAATGAAAAGTGTTTTTTTTTTTTTTTACAGAAGGATTTCATTATAGTTTTGTAGCTGGGTTTGATTTGTTCTATATATTGATAAAAAATTAGTGAAAACCCACATGGCATTCAAAGTTTCATTTTCTTGACTCCCAAATATTTTTTCTTTCCTGGTTTTATGGACTAGGGTTGTAGAAAAATACTAATTTTCCCACATGAGCTCTTGAATCTAAAGATTATGCAAATACATTTAAATGCTAAAACCATCACTACCTAGCTTTATCTGAATCTACATGGTCTAATCTTGCTGGAATAAAGTTTTTATACTTCTTGCTCATGTGAGGATGAGGGCACTCACTCACCTTAAGCTAGCCTTTAGTTTCAACTTCCACCAGTAGACATTAAATAGAGCTGCTCATAAGTTTTTGCTTATCTTTCCCACTGGGAAATGCCAATTAATGAGAAAGCCGCAATTATGGCATTCCTGACAGAACAAAACCCATGGGGAAAACTTGAAAAATCAGTAGTTGACCACAGATGGAAAATTTTAAGTTTGCTATTTATTTCATCAGGTTTGTGAAAATTAAAACTTGGAAGTGCTAACTAATACCATTATCAATACTTTTGAGGAGAGGTTTGGACTTCTAAGATCCAGCCTCTCTTAGGAGGGTACCTATTCTGGCTTAGCTAAATAGAAAAGTGAACTAACATTTCTTTGTTTACTTTCTAAGAGCTGAGCATTGCCCTGGTTTCTGTGACCCAAATTCCCTTTCCTACTTCTGAAGGAAAGCATTCATGCATGCATGCTGACTGTCCTCAAATATTAGACTTGCCAGCCGGTGGTAGGTTAGACTTCAGGAAAAGAGAACAGATTCAGATTTGGGTTATTTACTTCAGGCTCCTGAGCCTGAAAAGCATCTTAATACATTACTTTCATCATAGTAACAGCCAATTCCATCTGCATAGTAACCTTGTTTTATTCTTCTAGTCTGAGCCAAGTCATACTGTGACTCACTTGTCTACTCTCTAAATTGTTACTCTCTTTGGTAAAAAAGAAGCAGTCAACTACTGTGGAAACAAAGTAGTGAACTGGCAAACAAGCCTGGTGCATTGATATTTAAACTACTGAAGAATGTTCAGTTTTAAATCCAAGTAAATTTACAATTCTTATCTCACATCAGCAGTCCAAGTATCTCTCACTGGTATTTCTAGGAGACTGAGTAATGGGATCCCACCTACCTTGACTGGAGAATGGAAGACTGATATATATATTTTTTTAAATATGGAACACTTCACGAATTTGCGTGTCATCCTTGCGCAGGGGCCATGCTAATCTTCTCTGTATCGTTCCAATTTTAGTATATGTGCTGCCGAAGCGAGCACAAGACTGATACTTTTCTTTCACCATTTTAAACATTTTCATCATCGCATCCTAACTATTCTATCATCTCAATTTCTAGGTGAGGTGAGTACCAACCCTCCTCTTTGCTGTCTTCTTTTTTTCACAATACCTCTTTTCCTTTCTTTTTCTTAAATTGTGGGCTCACTTTCAGCAGATTTTCTACTCAGCTGGGAGTCCTAATGGCTCTAAACTTTAAAACAGTAGCTAAAGAGCTGTTCTCTATATGGTTTAGTCAAATACCCTAGTATTCATTAGTCCTGGACCAATTTTACCTTAATTTATTGATTTGGAGATTACTGTATCTATAGAACTAGTATAAATTCATGTATGGCATCAGTGGGCCTTGGATTTCCCACAAGAGGAAACTAAGAACTCAACTCAGGGTAAGATTATGAGATCTCCGTGCTGAGAGGAAGAAAAAAAAAAAAAAGAACTCAGCTCAGAGAGAAACCTTATTATTACTTTCCTGGGATATCAGAAACATTTTTCTAGTTCCGGATCTCAAATTGGCCTAAGGATGTCTCTCTTGTCCTTGTGAACATTAAAACCACAGTATCAGCTGGGCATGGTGGTACACACCTATGTGATCTCAGCTCCTCAGGAGGGTGAGGTAGGAAGATCATGAATTGGAGGCCAGCCTGGGCTACGTAGCAAAATCTCATCTTAAACTAATAAGAAAAAAAAAATTAAAAAAATTTAAACTCACAATCTCTAGGGCTTTTAGCTATGTTAATATCCTTCAGAGCTGCTATAGCTTTAGCTTAGGTGGTTACTACTCTGTCTTGATGTTAATTGAATCCCAGGTTTATATCTTTCACAGAGAAATTCAAGATACATGAAAACTGACTTAAACTGTAAACTAGTAACTAAGCATCCTCAAGAATTCAAAATTTCAAGATTAAGAAGCTGTGGTAATCTGATATAGCTGTTCTCAGGTCCTCTAAGACACTGCTAACTTGTAACAGGTATGTGCTATCAAGGGGCATTTAAATCTAAATTCAGCTATTATGGTCCAATGTTCAAAAATAAGCTTCAGATAAATTTCCTTGGAAATCTATTCCTATATAAATTACACTCAAATTCAGCTATGAAAGACCTTAAGGAAAAACATTTGTAAACAAGATGTTTCTAAATGTTCAATGAGTAAAAGAACAAATAATTCTCCGTATTAATGCACAGCTTTTGTTTCTCAGTGGAGTGGCTCAAGTGGTAGAGTGCCTACATAGCAAAAGTGAGGACCTGAGTTCAAACCCCAGTACCACTTAAAAAAAAAAAAAGAACAAAAGAAGCCAGGAGCCAGCGGCTAACGCTTATAATCCTAGTTATTCAGGAGGCAGAGATCAGGAGGATTGCAGTTGAAAGCCAGCCTGGATGAATAAATTGGTAAGACCCTATTTTGAAAATACCCATCACAAAAAAGGGCTGGTGGAATGGCTCAAGAGGTAAGAGTGCCTGCCTAGGAAGCATAAGGACCTGAGTTCAAATTCCAATGCTACCAAAAAAAAAAAAAAAAAAAAAAAGAACTAAAGAAATATGTATTTTCTTCACAAAGTTATTCCAAACTTTACAAATACAAGGAAAAGAGGAATAAGAAAGAAAGGTTTGTTCTCAAAGGGCTCATGTGTTAGGAGGGAGGTCTCAGTGTGCTGGAGTTGACATGGGGAATGGTCTAGTGGGAGGTGGTTGGGTCAATGGAGACACTGTCCTTAGAAGACAACAAGGAGGGTCCTGTGGGATCCTGCTTAGATCTCACAAGAGTTTTTATTGAAAATAAAGAAGCAACTGGGGATGTAGCTCAAGTGGTAAAGCATATGGCATTTGCTTAGCAAGCAAGAGACCCTGAGTTCAAACCACCACCAACCCCCACCCCGTGCCACCAAAAAAAAAAGCAAGATTGAGGTCCCCTCCTGCTTTCTGGCATCCTGTCTTGCCATTGTGATCTTTCCCTGCCACATGCGATTTGCCATGAACCATGTGAAAAAGTGAAGCGGGCCCTCACCAGAGTGAGCAAATGTTGGCATCATGCTCCTGAATCTCCAAAACTCTGAGCCAGATAAACTTTTCTTTATGCAGAATTCAACCTCAAGTAGTTTTTAAAGCAAGGGAAAATGCACCACTGCAGAAGGATTGTTTTACATATAAGTGAAGATCAATAAGCTATTGGCTAATACTACCCAAGTGAAGTAAAACTGACCTGCAGGTTATTCAGAGGTTCCATCTTCATGACTGGGCCCAAGGTGTTGAGAGGCAGAGAGACATCAATGCTCTGGTTTGGCATCAGTGGGGTATGGATGGCCAGAGGAGTACTGGGGATGACACCAAAACTAGGAGAGAAGATGAAGAAATCACAGGATTAATCAAGAGACTAGATTTAGCAACATCTTTAGGTTTCAACAGCTTTTTATCCCATTTGAAGGAAACAATTTTTTTGTGTATGGTGCTGGGAAAGGAAACAATTTTTAATACAATTAAGTGGAGGAACAGAAGGAAACATGGTGCACATTCCAACTTGTGCACCAGTCATGTCATAAGCGCTATTTTCTGTTAAATGGATTTGAGGAAAAAGAAAATATTCATAAGCACAGAATGGTTTTGCTAATGTTATGATTCTGAAAGTTTCTTCTGATTATCACATCACTAGAGAGACAGATTTGATGATCATCTCTTTTAATAAATTTTTTCTTAGATAATCCTTGGGAAAGAAGATTTAAGAATTCCCACTCTGTGCCAGGAGCCAGTGGCCCATGTCTATAATCCCAGTAGCTATTTGGAAAACTGAGATTGGGAGGATCACAGTTCCAGGCCAGTATGGGTAAAAAAGTTTGTGAGACCCCTATCTCAATGGAAAAAAAGCTAGGTGTAGTGGCACATGCCTATCATTCCAGTGACAGCAGGATGTGAAAATAGGAAGATCACACTCCAGACCAGCCTAGGCAAAAAGTGAGACCCACCAACAAAATAACCAGACCAAGAAGGTCTGGAGGCATGGCTCAAGTGGTAGGGCACCTATCTAGCAAGGGTAGAGTTCAAACCCCAGTACCACACACACAGATACACACACACAAAATTCCACTCTATAAAGAAAAGTATAATAGATATTATTTCAACTAGCTTGATAAACTGTCTGATTTACTGATAACACTCATTTCTTTCTTTGTTGTTTAGTTACATAGGACACATCTCCGGGAAAGAGCTGGTCTAAGTAAAACAGAATTGACTGACTTATACTTTCCAAGTGACTAAAAGTTATATACCTCAATATGACCATTTCTTAAGCCTAAGGCAGGCAGGAAGTATCCACCAGTTTGACACCTCAAAGGACGACTGTTTAAAAAGACACAAATAGTAAAGTGATGAAAAATTCAACTTGAGTCTGAAGTTACATGAAAAACAAAAACAAAAGCATATGAAGGAGGGCAAACAGCCTGAGAAAAATAAAAATAATATTTCATAAAGAGGGATCAAAAAGGGAAAAGTATTCCTAGGAATATAACAAATAAATGATACAAATTTATACTGAAATTATGTTTAAAATAGGCCCAGGAAGGAAGATAAGACTATGCTATTTATAAGATAACTAAAGAGTTTAGATAGTGTCTCCTTTATTCTGCTGTGAGAATGGCTAAAGAAACACTTTTCCTTTCCTAGATAAACTATACCTTAGACGACAGAAATGTAGTAAGAAAATGATCCTGAGAATTCATATCATTCACTTATGGCTAAGAGCCAGTACATTAAAAAGAAACATAAAACTGACTGTAATGTATGGGGGCTTTTGACCCTGGTTCAGATGAAACAAACTGTACAAAACATGAGACAACTGTGACATTCTGCAGATTGACTGGATACTTGATGACATTAATGAATTTGACGGTATTTTTAAAGGTTAGCGAGAAAAACAGTATACATAAAAGGCACATGAAGAAGAGCCAGTAAATACAAAATTGGAAATTCCAGCGAAGAAAATCTAAACAATGGAGTACAACAAAAATTTAAGCATATAAACCTGAAAACTTTCCTGAAATAAAAGACTTCAATGTATGAATTGAAAGGGCACATCTTATTTCAGGATAAACGAAGACCAGTCATCAATGAGAGTATTCTAATAAAAAAAATTTGTACTTAATACTTTGGGTAGCCTGGCAAAATAATCAAATTCTTATTATCTGGGGGAAACATCAAGCCAACAAGTTATTTATCCATAGTAACATTCAAAGACAAAATACTTTAAAAGTTTAAGTCAAGAATTTTCAAGTAAAAAGGTCATAGTTTAACAATGTATAAAAATTCAATGAATATTATTCGCATGAACTCTTTCTGAGAAATCTACTAAGACTTGACATCTAAGAAACCTACATCTAAGAAATGACAGTGAAAACTTGAATAAAAGGATTGGTAGCAAGCACAAATCCAAGACAAAAAAATGTGGGAATAAGGTTGGAAGAATGAAATGTAGAAATGTTACAATTTACAAAAATGAGAGGAAAAGGGACAAGTAGGTAGAAAGTAGAATAAACTGTTAGCATCATCTGTCATAGATAGGGGTCAATGATAATAAATTAAGTAGTAGAATTTAAGCATACCTAAGAGTACAAAAGCAGTCCAAAGAAAAGCAGGGAGTAAGGTTTATTTTATAAGAGAGTAAAAAAATATAAACTTTTATAATTAACAGAATAGCTTTTATAAAAAGGCAAATAGCTGGGCATGATGGTTCACCCTATAATTCCAGCACCTGGGAGGCTGAGATAGGGGAATTGTGAATTTGAGGCCAGCTTAGGTTACATAGTGAATAATGAGACCTTGTCTCAAAAAACAAAACACAAACAAACAAAAACCCAAACAGGACAAAGGAGAAATGAATGCAGGCCATGCAGATTCTCCCAGCAGCCTAGGCCTATAATGGGACCTGATCTCCCAAAGTAGCTGGAAATATATCTGGTCTTAACAGAAGGATATACAGACCTTCTAGGTTCTTAAATAATTTCTCAAGTGCTAACCTGTCAAATCCAGGGTACAAAGGCTTTATAAATGATTAAAAATAAGTCAATTACTGATCCAAACTGTCACTGACAAATTTTAATAAATCTGTTTTAAGGGTCTAATATACAACTGATACTTCAGAAGTGTGTGTGTATACACACACACACACACACACACACACACACACACACACACACACACATATATACATATATGTATGTATGTATGTGTATACATATATATGTACATAAAGAAATACAAGACATTAATATTTTACTGATGCACACTCTCTTCCTTGTTAAGGCAGAGAATTCATATATAATTACTTATTTAACATGTATACATCTTTCACATTTCTGATATCAAAGTATATTAATTTTTTCTGCCAAAATAGGACCTTCAGACAGTGCTTTGTCTGGTTCACTACTCTATCTACTCCACTAACTTAGAAATGTCTGGCACACAGATGATAAACAATTATTTGGTGAATGATAAAATAAATTCCAATTAAACTGGGTGCTGGTGGCTCATGACTGCAATCCCAGCTACTTGGGAGGCTGAGATTGGGAGGATCTCAGTTTGAGGCCAGCCTAGGCCCCCCCCGCCCCCACCTCCAAAATAAGCAGAGCAAAACGGAATGGAGGTGTGGCTAAAGCAGTGAGTTCAAACCCCAGTCTTACAAAAAAAAAGAAAAAAGAAAAAGAAAAGGAAAAAAAAAAGCCCCCAATAAAGGTTTGTTGTAATTATTTCATTAGAAACACTCCAGTCCCAGGATTCTTTAAGAACACAGTAAGTTCTAGTTTCTTTGGTTCATATGGATGAGTTCCCCTAAAAAATTCCCCATGGTTCCCACAGTTGAAACTGACAACTTGAGTAGATGTGCAAGACCTAAGGCTTACTCTACATTCAGCAATCTACCAACATGTGAGCTTTTCCCATTATTAAATGGAGCACTCTTTTATTGGACAGAAGGTATACCGTTTTCTAGACATCAAGCTAGGGACTTGTATTTCTTACCTGTTCTTGTTAAACTGGATTGCAAAGTCTGTCATATGTTGCAGAGCTTTATTGGTGAAGTTCATTTCCATATAGATGTGCCCTTGGCGGTGAGTAAATGTTCCTGAAATCTCCAGGCCTTTAGCCTTTACTGCAGGTAGCCAGACCTAAAACATAGTACAAAGCCCAAGAGAACCAGATAAGATTTATCTTGATGCTATTTCCTTTATAACATATAAAGATGAAATTAACATTTCTCCTTCTCAGGCAATTATAAAGATTTTTACACTATAAATAACAAGTCAATGTGAAAGCTCGGACAAGGTAGTATTTTCTGAATTTTGAAGTCATTCTCAATTATTTAAGAACCCAAAATCAAAACCAGTCTATGGGTAGCCCTGGCCTTTTTTCCATCTTCTGTTCAAGTTGGTCACTTGATTATTTTTAAGTACTGCTACCAAATATATGCTAGAGCAATTCTAATGAGTATAATGTGTTTTTCTGTTGTTTTGATAAATGGTTTAAATGGAAGAAACTGAATCTACTGATGAAAACAGTATGCCTATAATCATTGAAGACATTTCCATCATTACCAGCAATCTCCTTAAGGGCAAGGATAATGTGTTATGTATATTTTTAACTCTTGCTATAATTTCTGGTAAACAGTAAATAAATAATCGGAATGCATTTTCTCTATATATAATTGATTCATTACCGAAACCTGTTTTATTCCTGGCCTGCACCAGTAAAAAAAAAAAAATTAATAAAAAATATTGGGGGTGGGGGAGAACTCAGTGGCTTCATGCTGGAATCTCAACTACTTGGGAGATGGAGATAGGGGGATTATAGTATGAGGTCAGCCTGGGAAAAAATGTTAGATTATCAAAGAACAAGCCAGGCATGGTGGTACACACCTGTAATCCCAGCTATGTGGAAGGAAGATGTAGGAGGATAGTGGTCCAAGGCTGGCCCAGCCAAAAGTGTGAGGCACTACCTGAAAAGTGAGTAATGCAGAAAGAGCTAGGGTGTGGCTCAAGTGGTAGAGCACTGACTAGCAAGCACAAGGCCCTGAGTTCAAACCCTAGTACCAAAACAAAAAACAAAACAAAACAAAATTAAATCAGGAAATTAATGAGTTGTTTTGACCAGCTAAGACAGAAAACCAAAGAGTGTGTGGATGGTGAATAATCATAATATACTCAGCCACATGAACAAGAAGAAAGAAGGAAGAAGGAAAGAGAAATAAGATAATCAAACAACCAAAGATACTATTTTTGATTTATGAGAGGATCAAAAATTCAAAAAACCAGTAATACTCAATGAAGAAGAATGAAGAACGTGGCACTCATATTTTGTTAGTGGGAAAATGATTTGATACCACTTCTTCAGAGGGCAAATAGATAATGTCTATTTAAAAATGTTAAATGATCAAGCAAATTGCAAGTTTTCTTAGAGATATACTTACAAAACCATACCAGGATATGCATACAGCAAGCATGCTCACTATAACATCATAACAGTAACAAAAAGAGTAGGAAGCACGAGGCAATAGCCTAAATGTCTATCAACAGAGGAACAATTAAATAAATTAGGGAGATCAAATAGTGGACATAGTCATTTAAAAGAATATGACAATGAAAAAACAAGGCACAAAGCAGTACATCTCACTGGCACAGTATTATTAAAAGATACAAATACATAAGTATATGCATGATCTTTTCTTTTGAAAGGTCACATGAAAGTCAACAGTGACTATATATGGGTAAATAGGGATAGGAGAAGACTTTAACTTCCTGTCTTATATTTGTATAGTACTTAAACTGGTCATTTGTAGTATTACTTTTATGTTAGTAAATGAGTACATCAGATAACCTTTTAATTAATAAAGTTTGTGGGATAATATCCAACACAATAGACCTTACAACAAAGCTAGAGTTGTATCAAAACAGTATGGCTCAGTTTTGAGTAATTTTTGGTTATTTTAGTCAAGGGATGTACATACATAGTAATGACTCCTGGAATGGACAACTGGTCTACATCTCTACAGCAGGGATCCCACAGGAGGAGTCAGATGAGCAGGCAGAGAAATCAAAAAGCAATCAGGCATGCTGGCCCTCAGAAAGGCAAGATTACAAAAAGCCTAGCCTACCCTGGCCTGGCTAGTAACTTTTCCAAAAGTTTACATGAACTTCATTTACAGGTAGTTTTCTGTCTTGAATTTCAATCTGAATGACATCAAGCAATGTTGAGATTGATATAGCCCCAATGACACAAACCAAAATCAGAACTCTAAAGAGCTACATTAAAATCTATGAAAACCAAATTTGAGGACCATCATTCTAGAATCCATATGTAAAACCAACGAGGAAAGAGGAATGGAAGGAACAGAAGTAAAAAAATGTTATTTCTCAGGGCTGGGCATGGTGGCTCATGCCACCTGTAAGCCCAGCTACATGGGAGGTAGAGATCAGGAAGATTGTGGTGTGAGGCCAGGTCTCAGATCTTAATCAATAAGCCAAGCATCATAGCACTTGCTTGTCATTCCAGCTACTTGTGGAGGCCATAGATAGAAAATTTATGATCTGAGCCCAGCCCTGAGCAAAAATGTGAGACTCTACCTAAAAAATTACTGAAGTAAAAAAAAAAGGAGGGGGGGAGGGCTGGAGGCGTGGCTCAAGTGGTACAGCACCTGCCTAGCAAGCACAAGGCCTGAGGTTAAAATCCCACAACTGTCAAAAAGTTACTTCTCTCTACTGTATTTTTTTTCCTGCTGATGCACTGTATATCAGATTTTCACTATAGTCACCTTCAATGTTGACCAAAACTAGAATACTTAATATTTCCAATTTTAAGTCTAATTATAAAAATGTCCAATGAGGATGCTAATGGTGTTTCCTATTGTTCAGTTTGAAGCCATCTTTCATCTTCCTTGTACATCCCCCAGAACAAAGGCCAAACCTTGGATTTATTACTAGTGGAAGTAACACGAATGTTAGAAGTAATGGTTTTGTCCACTGAGAAAGTACTGTTAACTCATTACTTACAGCCTTAGGAGCCACATATCCACCAGGTGCCATGCCTATCCCTGTGGAAAGTTCAAATAGGTCATTCAGACCACTGCTGACCACAGCAGGAGTGGGTGAAGGAGCAAAGGTTGCAGGCACTGATGATGGGATGAAAGATTGTCCTACCTGCAGGGAAAAAAAGGGAGAGAGAAGATCAGGAGGAACAGATTAATAGTCCTTAAAATATTGCTGTTTATTTTAGCAGCATTGATTAAATCATAGGAAAACACCATAGTTACAATACTCTTAGGAGTCAAATTAGTAGTTATTTTTTCATCACCATTAAGATACACACACTCTTTAGAAGCTTTATCAAGACAGAGTACTCAGAAGGATACAGGAACACAAGGATCCAAGATTTTGTTTGTTTGTTTCCAATTTTAGCTTCCATGATTCTGTGCAAAAGGCCTATTGGTACCCTAACAAAGGAGGAGCTTGTTTCTACAGAAAGAGAAGCATCCAACTTAACAGCAGTTCCATTTCCACTGAGGTTCAGTCACATTTTTCTTCCCCATTTAGGCATAAATATCTGGCAGGAAGCTCTCCTGGGAGATGATATTTACACCCCCAAACTAACTCATTTATGAGGAGAGTCTCACCCTGAGTCCAGCTGACTCTTTCAAGTTCTTTCTAGATAATACCAGGAAATAAAAGCATTCTCTAGTGAAGATGGGAGATTCTGTTTCCTTCAGCTCTTTAATGTCAGAAACACAAAGATCTCGACAGGTACCAGAGTATCAATCCCTAAAGATGTCTCTAGATCACATGTAGTGCATGACCCCAAAGACTCCAAGTAACCCTATACTACTTTCTATTCCTCACATACTGCTACAGAGGTTTTGGAGTGCAGCGTTAGACAGCAGCAGTGGCCAGTCTGATAATGTATGCAAAGGAAAGGCATCAAACAGGGGCAGTGCTTCTCATGGTGAAAAAAATGATGGCACTTACTGCCGGACTTCCTCCAATGCCCCCGCCAAGGTCACTGCCAAGCTGAAAGAGAGAAAGAGGAGAGAGGAGAGAGAGGTAGAGTTCATTTAGCTAAGTACTAGATGCCCATATAGAATCTGTAAATTGCTGTACCAGGTTGCTGGAAATACATGCCATTCAACTTGTCTCCCAAAGGCTAAGGAAATTCTAGACTGCCAAAAATATGTCTGAGGGGAACCAAGTGTTGGTAGTGAAGGGGTACCGGAGTTTTGCAAAAACTTGGAAAGATGGGAGCTGGGACATCTCAGGGATGTTTCACATCCAATCTTTCCACCAGGTTACATGGGCACAAATCCAAATGAGATTTAAAGAGTTTGCATATTCTAAGAAGCTCTATTTCCAAGTAGCAATGATATGTTTAATTTTTTCTTTAAAAAGAAATGTAAAGGGGTAAAAAAAAAAAAGGAAAAGCAAAGAAAGACAAAAATATGCTTTTTTTTTTTTTTTTTGTAGAAAACTTGCTGCCTCACTGAGATGGTGGGTAACAGACCACTATTGAGCTTCAATTTCAAGTTTCAAAAACTACAGGTAGAACATAAGCAATTTTTAGAGTTTAGAGCATTCCTAATATAGAAAATAGCTGGTATAGAAAGGTATCCCACCTAAGAAATGGGGAGGCATGCAGTGCTTCAAATTTCTCACAGTCAATACCACTGAGGAAAAATGCTGGGATTTATGTGGAGTAGACCATTCAAAAGGATGGTCAAAAGCCTTACAGAATTAAACTAAGTGAATTAGCTGGCTGACAGGAAAATAATTCCATATGGTGGTCTTAGTCTTGATTTTTATCCTCAGGGCTCTGATATGTATACAAATATATATATATATTTCTTTCACCCTGAAGTCAGTCTTCCACGACAAAAGTTTAGAGAAGAACTGAAGCTGAAAAGAGATGGCATGCAAGAAATGTAAATACACAAATACACAATTAATAGTATTATTTACCAAGCAAAAACTCTTCTTTTATTCCCCCAAAGATTCACATTTCATTCCTCCCTAGTTCTCACTGTGCATCTACAACACCTTTCTGAATCATCAAATGCCTTGTCTGCTCTAAAAATAGACTAAAAGCTGAAAAACTTTCTTTTATCTCTCATTTAGAGGTAGAAATTTGGAGATCATTGTGCTGTGGTTATATTAAAAAACAAAACTGTACTGCATCTTCAGGATTTGGAATGAGATTTACCTTCCCTATGAACTGACAGTAGTACATAAAATGGAACTGCCAAAATCTATACACAAAATGTGAGACCTACAACAAATTCTGTTTACTCCATGTCAGAAAATAAGCCCAGCAGGTGCTTAATAACAAGTATTCTCTACATTACACTACAGAGTACTCCAAACCACAGAGCCAGTATTTCCAGAATCGCACTCCTGACGATCAGTTAATAGTTGGTCATGAGATGAGAATCCTATACTTAAACAAATAAAAAGTCATCCCCCACCAAGAATGTGGATAACTAGAAAAAAGTGAAAGCAAACAAAGGATACTACACATCTGCTTTCTCTCTGGTTCTACAATAGCACACATCTACAGCATGACACCTGAAAAGCATGAAATTCTTTTTATTGAGATACTAAGTAACATTTAATGTATGCAGGGCATGCAAAGATGCCAAGTAATAAAGGGACTATTACAGATAAATAAGAAGCAGGCTTTACAAACTGGCAGGAAAAACAAAATAAGAATGCAAATCCATATAGAATATGCTAAAGCAAAAAGGGAAATTCTGAAGGGAAGAATCTCTTTCTAGCTAACGGATAATAATGAAGGGAAGCTTCAAAGATGTGGTAATGTGGGACTACAATGGGAAGGATTATAAAAAGCACAAATAGCGTGAACAAAGATTGAAAAAGCAAGCAGAAAAACAGGAATAAAATGTCATCAGGAGCAGGGCACCAGTGGTACAGGTGGCTCACGCCTACTTTGGAAGCAGACATCAGGAAGATTACAGTTCAAAACCAATCCCGGGGCAAATGGTTTATAAGACCCCACCTTGAAAAACTCATTACAAAAAAAAGGCGGGGCTGGCAAGAGTGGCTCAAGTGCTAGTGTGTCTGCCTGGCATGCATGAGGATCTGAGTTCAAATCCTGTATCACCAAAAAATTCTCCCCAAAACAACAAAAATAAAAATTTTGAAAAAAATGCTATTCCTATGTCTTATCCCTAGAGATAGTGATTTAATTGTTCCAAGGTGGAGCTTGGGTATCAGAATTTTGAAAAGCTCTCTAGTTCATTCTAAAGTGCAGCCAAGGTTGAAAATACTACTTTAGAGAATTAATTACTATCTGGAGTCAGACAAAATTCATTTGTTCAAAAATTGCTTTAGATCTATTTCTGAATAAAACAGGTCAGAATTTGAGCAGAAGGAAAAACTCCTCCTAAGGAAGAACAGGAAAGACAAATACAAAAACCATGACAGGGACTCCACAAAATTTCTCATTTGTCCCAATATTTGATACGATTTTATGACTTTTTGATAGGTTTACTCCTTTCTCCCCTAACCACTTCCTCTTCTAGCCAAGCTTATGACTCAAGCCTGAAAGAGACAGAATTCTTTATGGACCTGGCTAGCACTCAGTGGCAAGGAAGAAGAATCACACTGGAAAGGAAATAGTAGTTTTACCAAATATTCTTAAATCCAATAAAAGGCATTCACGATTGGACTGGTGGTGTGGCTTGAGTAGTAGAGAGCCTGCTTTGCAAGCGTGAAGCCCTGAGTTCAAACCCCAGTGCCACCAAAAAAAGCAAATAAGTAAAATAGTTAAAAAAAAAAAAAAAAAAGGCATTCACGAAATGTACTTATTGGTGATCTTCAGATTAAAGGAAATAAGGCCTAGTAATAGCTCTTAATTCCTTAGGTTTTTTTTTTTTTTTCCTTATCTTTAAACACTGAATATTAGCTGAAAAAGATCTGAATGCAGTTTCTACAATTCTGCTGATCAATTTTATTCTAAATCATGAAAGAGAAAAGCAACTCTGTTACTCCTTTGTTTATAAATATAAACATGTAAGAGACCCTCTCTAGAATTGAGAACTCTGATCTGACCCAGACAAGGACCAAAGGGTATAAGAGATATGTAGTCAGCAATATAAAGGTTCATCTAATTTTGCTATGTCTAGAGAGTAAGAGAAAGAACAAACCTGAGTATATGTTTTCTAACTGCAAGACTGTAGCTTGTTTAGACTATTTATTCTGTATCTTTCTTCTTGACTGAAAAATGATGGGAGTGGGGAACAGTGAGTAGATGTCAGCATGGATGGGATCTACCCAGTAAGTGGCCTTACCTATCTACTACAGTGACAAGCAGGATGAAACAATCAAGAAAATTATTGTATATCAACCTGAACTAGACACTAGCCATTTCGGTTCAACTGCTGGTTTTATTTGGAGTCAGCTTCATCTATTTGGAAATACTCTGAGCTCATACTTATCAAAAACTCATACTAAATCAATCAAACTAGGACTTGAAAATTCAGAGTGGTATCTATTATCCAGTGAGTTGGTGGGAGCCAGGAGGAGTGAAAAAGAATAGGTGTAGAGGGCATGGTTAGACAGTGGTTATAGAAACCATGATGAAAAATTTACTGGGCAAAATTGGGCAACAACTTACTAAGATTTCTCCACACAACACAAACTCTAAGAACCAAGCTCTTTAGTCATGGCAAAGCTCCTCCAAAGAGACAAAAATAGTGCAAAACTACCATGCATCATGTATTTCCTGTGAGCTAAAACATTCTATTAATAAAGTACCTTGTGATAAAATATCTGCAAGGTAAAAAACTAAGAAACATTGTGGGTATCTGGGTGGGATAGCTCAAACCTGTAATCAAACCTGTAGCCACCTGAGAGTCAGAGATCAGGAGGATCTTGGTTCAAGGCCAGCATTGGCAAAAAGTTAGTAAGACCCGATCTCAACCAATGGCCGGGCACCTGTCATCTCCACTTATGTGGGGAAGCTTAAGTAGGAGGATCCCAGTCCACAGTGGCCTGGGCATAAAAATGAGATCATCTTATCTCAAAAATAACCAAAAGCTGACACCTTGGCTTAGGTGATAAGGTGCCTACCTAGCAAGCACAAGGTCCTGAGTTCAACCCCCAGGTACCACCAAAAAAGAAAAAAAGAAAAGAAAATCAGTCCTGGAGGTTTTAAAAAATATAGAAAAAAATGAAGAAAGGCAAATTCTCCTCTCTGCCACAATGGGCCAGCTGGCACACAAAGTGCATTTCTCTAGTATGAAATCTTCCATCAACAGAGAAAAGGGACATTTGGGTTCAATGGTTACTTCAGCAACCCTCACAGATGCCAAAATCCTGAGCACGTAACACATACACAAGAGTTATACACACCTCTTACACTACACCAAACCAGAGGATTTGCACTGCAGAAACATCACACCATCCAGAACAGGTAGTTTCACAGATTAAATATCAAGAGGCAATACACACACACACACACACACACACACACACACACACACACGGCTTCTAAAAAAAGAAATGAAAAAGTCAAAATAACTACTAAGTAGTATGCCATCATGCTCTCCATGCAGATCAGATCAGCCACCTAGTTACATTACCTGAATTCACTCCACATCAAAGTGATAGTTAAGCTTATGCTAACAGAGGGAAGAAATTATGTGTAGCGTACAATCAAAAGACAATATGCTGAAAGGCAAGCAAAAAATAAGGAATGGTGATGTTCCAATAAGTAAAGAGACTAAAAAAAGTAGGTAGGAAATTAATTTTGACTCAAGTTTTGTGCTGAAAAGGCATCCCAAAAAAACGCTGCCCAAATCAATGATTTTCAAAGATGACTGCCTCCTGAAGCTGGTACATTGAGGAATGTTGTGGCAATTAGCTACTTAATTAGCATTTCCTGAATAAGACAGTTCTAGAAAAAGGTCATAATTCATTAAGTCTCAAAATTTCTCACGTGAGACAATGGAAAGGAAAAAAGATTAAGATCTAATGGCAGGATCAGTAGGCTATAAAAAGGGAAGAATAAAAATTTCTAATATCAAGTTTTAAGAAAATGGGTACACAATCCAAAATATAAAGTATCTCCAATTTTTTACTAATTATGGAAAGTGAGCAAAGGTAAAAGAGACCCCAAGAATGAACAACTATATCTAAACTGGTTAGATTTAACTTCTAGCCAACTTCTGATAGATTGGATCACCTAACAAAATCACAATGGAAAAATATCCTGGAAGGAAATAACAAAGGTAAAATCAGAGATGTCTGTTTCTGTGAGATGTGCTAAGAGGCTTTCCAGAATGTAAAATATTTTTTGTGGAAGTCACTGTCTTTGTCTAGAGATTGACTATTTAGCTCCATTTGGATTTTATTTGGCTTAACGTTCTCAATCCTGGCTGTAGAATTACAACAACTTGTGTAACTTTTTAAAAATAGCAATATCTAGGTCTTACCTTGCAGAAGTTATGTTTAACTGCTCTTGGGTCCAAGTATTGTTAGTATTTTTTTCAAATGGTACCAATGTGGGACTAATTATGCAGCTAGAGTTGAGAATCATAAAGACATTAGGAGCTGTTAGGCCAAACTTCGTTAACAGCACACCACTGACCTCTAGGGGTAAGGTTCTGGTAGAAAGAGATGCTAAGAGGGTATGGCTCAAGTGGTAGTATGCACAAGGCTCTTTGTTGACTCCCCAGCAAACAAAAAAAAAAAAAAAAAAAGAAACAGATGCTAGTGCTGTTGCATGGTGACACAGGCCTGTAATACCAGCACTTGGCTAAGGTAGAAATATTTTGAGTTTGAGCCTAACCTAGGCTACATAACAAGACTCTACTCCCGCCACAACAAAACAAAAAAGGTCTCACTGCAGCCCAACTAAATTAAATCTTTGTACAAGATCTCTAGGAGATTCAAACATACACACTGTAATTTGTTTTGAGAAGTGCTGTTATAGTAAGGATGCATTTAAAAAAAATGGCACTATCTAATATACATTAGGACAGCTTTGTGAAGGGTATTTTCTTCCTTATATTAGATAAAATTTGCACAAGAATTTTACAAGTTGCATCGTCCACTGCTGCTTTAGAAACTTATCTTCCACACAGCCAGATTTAGGCTTCCCTTGTGATGTCCTCATAAAAGGAATCCTGGTTCTTTGACCTACTATATATTCAATCACATACAGATTCAAAGCAAAAACAAGGGCTTTTAATCCTTCTTTTCTTTTGGGTGTGTGTAGGGATGGTACTGGGGTTTGAACTCACAGTCTCATACTTTCTAGGCAGGCAATCTTACCACTTGAGCTATACTCCCAAGTCCTTTTAATTTTAGTTCTTTTTCAGGAAGGATCTCCCAGTTTTTGCCCGGGCCAGCCTCCCATTTATGCCTGCTGTGTAGATGGTATCCCCCAGCTTATTTGTTGAGATGGGGCAGAGGGAGTCTTGTTAACTTTTTCCTGGGCTGTTCTTGAACCTTGATCCTCCCAATCCCTGCCTCCTGAGTAGATGGGATTACAGGCATTAGCGACAGAGGCCAATCTGGTTCCTTCTTATTTTGATTTCTGGTATAAATTACATTTCAAAATAAGCTCAAAAAAACCCAAAAAAAACCACACTGTAAAAATTTTGTTATGAAAGCAAAGATACCATTTTGAATCCCAAAGTCAGTAAAAGCTAAAATTTAGTTATGTAGGAATGTTACTAGACATACCTAGCAAAGACTGTAATATTTAGAAATCCAAATTGGGAAATCAACTGATTTTCCCATCCTCAAAAGAATATTTCTTTTTTCAAAAAAAGTTATGAGGAAAAGATAACAGGACTGGTGGAGCGGCTCAAGTGGTAGAGCACCTGCCTAGTAAGCAAGAGGCCCTGAGTTCAATCTCCAATAAAACCATAACAAGAAAAAGAAAGAAAAAAGAAAAAAAAAAAGAAAATGAAAGAAAGACCTAAGTAGTGTGACTCTGGTTACTATAATCCAAGCAACTTCTAACAGCCTATCTATCTGAAGCAATACTTGTGGGGCAATTCTAACAAATGACTGGATAGGTGCGTAATACATAAGCTCAATGTATTACATAAATTAACGTAATACACAGACTCAATGGTTTTGGGGGCTGGCAAGAGTTAATACAAAGTCAAAATAAAAACAGCACGTCTTCTTATTTCTATACCAAAATGGGTCAAAGTGGATTTTTTTCTCAGCTAAAATACAGACTCCTGGACCTGACAACATCAAAATCTTTTTCCCTGCCATTCTAAATCCCTCTCTCACTCTTAAGTTCAATGAGCATCCTATGAATCCTATCAGGGAAAGTAATAAGTAAGGGTGCTAAGGCATAAAACTTGATAGGAAGAGCTTTCATTTTATAAGGGATTCTTGGGTAAGCCTGTAAACACTTAAATGTTCATTTGTCTATCTTCTGAGTTGATAAAGAGGTTGGTTATACAGCAATGCAGAATGATAAGAGGAAACTACTCTACTAATGTCATCAGCCAAGACATTTATCAAAGGTAACAATATGAAAAACAAATGCTACATTCCCAAGCAAGACAACAGGAATCATCATTTGGGTCAATAAACTGGAGTCTGCTGTTCAATCAGTATGTAGATTCTGTAAATGGTGACTTTCCATTAGTAAATGCATAGCCCACAGACTAAATCCTACTTCCTTAGACACTCCGTCAACCAAAAAGTAAATATTATCTGTACTGACTGGCATAAACCACAATCACAACATTGTTCTTAATATATAGCAGAAAATTAGCACTTACATAATCTCTGAGAACATATGTCTTCATATCTATGATATCTGCCTTCCAATGATTTGGGGATATAAATATGTCGGGTATCTTTGTAGTCATCAGGTTGATAAATATCTCTTTCCAAGTGTGTAGACAAAAGAACCTTTCTAATTCCACCACAGTTAAGTACCTAGTTTGAAAGGAGTCACGTGACGAGACCTGTTATTTTCCTGGTCCTCCTCTACAGATTGAAGGTCACACTTGTATTTCTCATTTTTTGCTTTTGTACAGCAAAAAATAATTTGGGTTCCCATTGGAGGCATATATACACGGATATTCTGGACTTTGTTGCCTTTTAGTATTAGAATCCTGGAAGCTAATTAAATTGGAAGTATGACAAGGTTGAGGAGGTCGGAAAGAAGGGGAAAAAAGAACCAGCCAAGCAGTTCTTCCCAACTGTAATAAAGGTACATTTTATACAAAAATGGCTTAAATGACTGTCTCAAAACCTTACAGAACTAGAGAGAGTATAAGCTAATAGAATATTTAAAATGTGGAGGTTTGAAAGTTTCAAAATAGGGTGAGTATTATAAGACTACTTTAAAACTATTCAGGTCAAAAGGAAATTTTGTAGGGGTTTTCCAGAGTTAAGAAACAAGAATAATAAACTCTGGAAAGGATATTAACCATTAAGACTGTTGAGCAATATGTTGGATAAATATCAGAAGTTCTATTTTCAGGCAGGACATCAAAAAAATTCTGTAAACTTATAGATATACCTCAAAGAAATGATGAGCAGAGATATAATTAACTCTCTAAAGATAAATAATCTTGTCCTTTATCAAAAGACATTACCACTTATCACAGAAAGGTCTAGTTCTAAAAGCTGAATTAAATTCTTTAGCATATCAAGAACTAAAAATACCCAAAAAAGGGCGGGGGTGGGGGAAGAAAGCTGCTTACCAGACTATCTAGTCCTCCTCCCAAGAGATCCACTGCTCCCATCTGCATGGAGGACACCTGTGGCACATTGACTGGGGGACCAAGGTCAAGATTTAAAAGATCCCCAAGAAGATCACCTTGAGAGGGGATAACCTGAGGCTGTTCCAGGTTGGTTGTAGTGGTGGTGCCAACAGGGCTGTCACCTGCATCAGTGCTGCAGTCACATACACACAGAGAAGAAATGAGAAAAGTCAGTTTCATATAGGATATAACAAGGTAGCAAGTGAACATCAGGGGTATAACTATCATATAATATACAAATTCAGTTTATAAATTGAAATAAAAATTTAAAAAAACCTAGGTAGGTTCTGACAATACTTGAATATAGTGGGCAAAGGAGAATGAAGAATCAGTCTACAGAGAATAAACAAAAACTAGAAAAGGAAAAAGATTAGTGATAGTCCTAATAATCAGAGGACAATCTGGAGGGATGATAATAAAAATAAGATGTTTAGTTTTTGTGTTTTGTTTTGGTTTGTTTGTTTTTGGTGGGTTTTGTTATGGTTTCCCTTGGTGCTGTGGATTGCACCCAGGTCTTTGCACACGCTAAGAACGTGCTTTACTACCAAACTACACCCATAGTCCCAGATGGTCGGTTCTTAATTCTGCTAAGTTCCAAGTAAGAAAAATAAACAGAGAAGTCCAACAGGCAGCTAAGAATAAGAGACTGGCAGTCAGAGGTAGTCAATAAACTTGAGAAGAATTAATATATACATCCAGGTGAATCACCAGGGGATGGTATGATGGTAAAAGCAGGTTATCTAGAATCAGAAGACTAAAATGAAATGTTGGCTCCACTAAATGCTAGTTGCACAATTTAGGCAGTTGATAACTCCTCTGAGACAAACTTTCCTCATCAATAAAATGAAAACATATCGCTGGAGCCATAGTATATTATAGTGAGAAGCCATGAAAACATGGTTTAAATGGTAAAGTTTTGTAATCTATCAGCAGTAGCTGTGGTTGGCATGTTCCCTGAGGGAATACAAAAAGAAATACAGAAAGAGAAGGTTCAGACTGAGCCTTTTGAATTAACCAGATTAATGATCAGAGAAGAGAATGAACATGAAACTGAAAAGATTAGGGTGAGAAAACATTTCTAAGAAAGTCTTAAGAGGAAAAAAAGTCAAGAAAGTCATTGAAGAGAAGGGGCCATATATAAAGAAGATAAAGACTTTAAGTATATGGGTTTTTTTCAAGATAGTGTAAATATCATTCTTTCCAATACTGTGTTTAAGAAGAATTGTTCTGTTATTGATTTGTTTCACTTTCCTCCTCCCATTTGAATGTTAAAAGTTACCAAAGGCTAGATTAAATGGCATATGAGTATGGTTACACAGATAAGTTACAACAGAAATTCATATTTATATCAAAACTTGAAGCAAACACCAGAAGGACTTAGAAGTTAAATAGTCATATCTCTAGAATGTTAAACAAGCTTGCTTACAAGGAAAAATGCCCTAACTTATTACAGGCCTAAAATAACCCTTATAAATCTATATACCTCTTTGAAAATCACAGCACAAGTATTAAAATCAAATAAAGGTCATAAAAGATTAATGATCATTTTCTTGGGTTTGCCCTTTCCTTTTTGTTTCTGTGTCCATAGTCTGTTAAAATAGATCCTAAAATGAAGACTATGCTATTTGTAAAGCAATAAACTCTACACTTTGTCCACTTATGAACTGCTTAAAGAGAAATATACATTAAACAATGGTATAAGGCATTTGCTAATGGGAGCCCAGTTATTTTAACTAATCTGGGAGCAAATTCTACTTAGATTTAAGGTTTTTTATTTTGTTTTGGTGGGAAATGGGGTTTGAATTTAGGACTTTGTGCTTGCAAAGCAGGTGTTTTACCACTTGAGCCACATCTCCAGGCCTAGATTTAAGGTTGGTTATGATTGATAATCAGATTCTGAAAAGTTTCGGAGATAACCATATTGAGTTTATTATAGTATTTCTTCTAATTAAAATTTTAACGTAGCTATAAAAGAGTTCCATGTTACTAGATACTGTTCATTATAGACTTTTCTTACTGATATGATCAACTTGGTAAAAAAAGCACACATAGCTAAAAAACTATGTCCATATAAGAATTGAGGCTATTTATATAAAAACAATCATGCAAATATTATTTTAAAAATATTTTATCATATAAGAGAAGCAGTATCTACTAACTTTATCCATAAGCCTCAAAAAAGCTACAATAAGACAACTAATACACAAATAGTTTCCAAGTTTTCAACCCAGGGAATATTTCCAGCCTCATCTTACTGGAGAGGTAAGCAATTTTTGGACTATTTATTTGGAAGGTCTTCACCACTATTTTCTAAAGCCACACTGTGGTCCTAGATTGGAAGAAAGGGAGCCCTCTAGTGTAGCAGGTTTGCAAAATACTAGTAAGTTGTTTTCCAGGTTATAAAAGCAGGTGGATGACATCTCTGTCTAAACAAAGAGTCACTTCTTACTTGAACTTAGTTCACTAGCTTACCTCCCATGATGAATTGGCAAGTGTTTGCGATGGATCCCATGACTCCCTTCCACGAATGCATTGGGAGGTTTATGATACACAGAAGCCAAAGAACCAATGTGGCAGATAAGCTCATCCAGTAGAGTTGGCTCAATGAGGTCTGTTTCTTCAGAGATCAGTGGCTTCTCAGACAAGACTACTTCTTTGGCTGTCACAGGGTCAGTTGAGAGAAGGCGCCAATAAATATAGCCCCGATCTCGAAGGTCAGGATTATCAGAATCCTAACAAAAATGCAAATTCAATAAGGTTAGATGGAACTGTTCCTCATCAGAAACTGAAACTGCTGGATTTATTGTCAAGGCAATGCTGTAGTGATTTATGTAGACTAGCTGTTAAGGTAGTTCCTAAGATTCCACGTAGTTTTAATACAGTCATAATTCTATAATTTCTAATGCTTTAAGGAATTTTAATAAAAATTGAGGTACATTACTGTTAAGACTCAAATTCATAGGGAAGCTAGAAAGAGAAAAAAAAACTTACTCTGAAAAGTTAACTGGCTTGAGATGGCTTCAGGACACAAACTGCTACAAATATTAGTAGGAATATTCACAACATTATATCTTACACATATTTCACTAATACTTACCTTCTTGATTCAAATATTTATTAAGCATCTTATTGTAATCATTGGTTAGGCCATAGAAATGAGGAGATTATACACAGTACCTGACTAAGGAGCTCACAGAATATTAACTATTACAATACAATATAAGAAGTACTGTTATCTAAATAACAGTAATAAAAATAATAAACCATTACAGAAAGCAGGTAACTATGTGCTTCTAAAGAGGGTAGCACTGGTGATTTTTCTGGTTGTGGTCTTAAATTATTTTATATATACTCATGGCTAAAAAAAAAAATTATTACCAGTAACACATCACAATCTAGAAATGTGTAACATAGGGTTAAGGGCATGGCTCAAATGGAAGAGTACTTGCCTAGCAAGCTCAAGGCCCTGAGTTCAAACCCCAGTAATGCTAAAAGAAAAAAAAAAAAAGCAGCAGCAAATGCATAATATAAAAAGAAATTTCCTTCAATCATCCAATTCCTCCATCTCTCAAGTCCAATCCCCAAAAGAGCTATGATTAGTAGTTGGTAAGTATCTATTCAGACAGTTCCCAGCACACATACATTTGTTTTACAATAACCACTTTCAAATTACATACACTGTTCTATAAAGTTGCTTTCTATTTTTTGGCAGTACTGCCTTGTGCTTGCTAAAACAGGCACTGCATCATTTGAGCAATGCCTAGAGCCCACTTTATAAATAGACAAATAGAATTTTAGTTTTCACTATTTTTACTAGTTCCTTATTGAAGGACATTTGGATTACTGCCTCTTTCTTCTTGTCTTCCTAACTTTTACATTTGTTTCTGTGACCATTAGCAATTGGCAATAAATATCCTGGTCTCCACCTCTTAGGAATATGTCGGTACAGTGGCATTATTTATGCACGTTACTCAAATGGCATCATGTTATTAAAGGCAAAAATAAGTCAGTTAATTAATTAATTATGAATGACAGGATTTCTTTCTGTTGCCAGAATGAAACTCATCATCCTCCTATCTCAGCCTCCCTAGGAGCTGGAACTATAGGCATGCACCACTGTACCTGGCTCAATTTCTGTATTTAAAGTCAGTCTCCTTCTCTCTCACCCTGATAAGTATTTTGTTTGTTTTTTCCATGTTTATTAGAAGTCTGAATTTTAGCCAGATTCCTGGGCTGGTGACTCATGTCCACCAGCTAATTTGACTTTCACACCACTCTCATCAACAGGAGCCTTTCTAGAACTATAACCTTCCCATGAAGCTCCATTAGCCATCCCAATTCACACTTGGAAATTTTTAGTCTTTATAGATTAGTAGTCTTGCTAAGCATATTAAAGTTTATAATATGCTTAGCCACATATTCATCAAGATAAAATTTTTTACTTCAGTTCAAACCCCAGTACTGTAAAGCAAACAATAAACAAACAAAAATCTTGCCAATGTTCAGGATGAATAGAGTTCAGGATTGTACTGTGGATGCAGTACAATCTTCCCATAACATTGCTCAGCTTCCACTAAAGACATGCCACCTTTCAACCAACCAATTTTATCACTTAAATTAAACACATTATGTGCCCTTTTTGGCTTGGGAGAATTACCATAACTTTAACCATGCTGTTCAGGTACAATTTGCTTTTTGGGAGGCATGTTTTCACAAAATTAAGGGCAAGGAAACACTCAACAGATCACACAATGATTTAAACACACCAATGAAAATGTGGGACTAACTGAGAGCTTCTACTTATCAACTAAGCCACATAATGTCCACATGGAAATTTAAATCTTTTGTTTTTTACAGCCGGGTACTGGTGGCTCATTCCTGTAATCCTAACTACTCAGGAAGCAGAGATCAGGGCAAATAGTTCAAGGGATCTCATCTTGAAAAAACCAATTACAAAAAAGAGGTGCTGGAATGGCTCAAGAGGTAAGAGCACCTTCCTGGCAAGTGTGAGTTCCTGAGTTCAAACCCTGCTATCACAAAACAAACTGTTTTTGAAATTCCTTTTGATTTTTTAAAATTGTTTTTTGACAGCATTTGGTCAAACCGCGTGTAATAAATCCATGAATAAGTTGGGCTTACTATACTGAGGTTTGAACTCAGGGCCTCATGCTTACTAGGCAGACGCTCTACTACTTGAGCCACTCAGACCTTTTTGCTTTCATTATTTTTCAGATAGGATCTCACACCTTTTGCCCAGGGCTGGCCTCAGACCATAGCCCTCCTACCTATGCCTTCCGTCTAGCTGAGAACCACCATATCTACTTATCTGTTGAGATGGGGGTCTTGCTAATTTATGCCTGAGCTAACCTTGAACTTTGATCTTCCCAATCAGCATCTCCAGAGTAGCTATGGTTTACAGGTATGAGCCACCGCACCCCACCCTGAACCTCTTTTCTTCTACCAAAACTATCACATAATTCTGAGGGCCAAAAATATTAAAAAATTCAAGGAAGCAACATAAGTACTTTGATACTTCATACTAAAGCTGAAGTCACCTAGAAGTTGTCAGACTCAACGTTATTTTTACAGATTTTTATAGTGTCCATCATTGACACTATAAAATCTCACACAATTTTCATGAATTATCAGCCACCCCATTTAAAAGCTATACAAACTAGTTACATTCCAGTGGAACATGTTAAGATTGTCACAGGATCTAAAGACTACACTTATTTCCATTAACACCTCCCCAAATGAACCTTCTTGGGAAGAGATGCGTAATTTCTTATAATTTGAAGCAAGACAAATCAGATCCTCACTTTTTCCAGAATTCTCACCTGTGTTGCCAAACTCAAGACCTGCTGGACCAGCTCTTGTGTTTCTGATGGCTTCTTGAGGAATAGCTTTACTATGGCAGTAAGGAGAGTGAGCTGTACCTAAACAGATACAATTTGATAAGATTAGAGGTACATGGATTATTCCCTGGCATCATCTTCTTCAAAGTGGTATCTCTTCAACTATGAATTACTGGAATCTTTCTGAGTTTGGTTAAGAGACAAAAGGTTAAAACATAGCCAGTATCAATAATAGCAACAAAGGTATTCTGAAATACAAAGGTATTTAATTGAAAACTCACTATCCTTAAAAAAAACTTCCTATCCTTAAATTGCATTTTTGCACCAAAAAAGCTTGTTTCTGAGCCAGATTATCAGGTGTACTTTTTAAAGTACATGCTAACACAATGATAGTGATAAAACTGGCTCCTAACCAAATCTTGTAATATTTACTTCTATCAAAAGTTACACATTTAGGGCAATGTGGAATCATCTGTCATACTGGGGAAAGAGTCAAGACAGTAGAATTATGTCAGATCACAGCCATTTATAAGAGGACTTTTAAACTACTATTAATATTAACTTACTAAAATTAAAATTACTGTAATGGATTACATAACGAACTTCTATTTGCTATGAGTACAAACGCCAGAGGGCAAGGCCTTAATAATTTGTCTGCTTCTCTAGGCCTATGACTTTAGTAAGAGAAAGGGACAGATGGGAAGGAGTCTAATCATCTAGAGAAATCTTTTCAAGCCTCACCACAGCCCCAGGTGAAATTCTCTGCTGTAATGAGCCAGAGCAATTGCTCAGGATGATGTGTAACCATCCTTAAGTAACAGAAAATAAAAATTTAATTACTGCTCTAAACCAGCTGTTCTCCAAGTATGGTTCTGGACCACCACCACCAACAGTAGCAGCAGCACCCTGGATCTTATGAGAACTGTGAATACATAGGTCCATCTCAGACCTACCAAGTCAGATAGTCTGTGGACAGTGACCAGCAACCTGTTCTACAACAAGCCCTCCAGGTGTTTCTAATGCTCATTAAAGTGTGAGAGCCACTGGTCTAAGTTATACAGGTTTGCTACACTAGCCATCAGTACAAATGAAAAAGATTATCCCTTTTGGGAGAAAATTGAACATACTCTATATAAACATACAAGTAAGAAACTTTCACTTTCTCTGATATCTTTCCAAAGAGATTGTGGTACAGGATAGACAAGAACTTACCTGAGTGCTTTCATCATGAAAACCCTCCAAGAAGCTCTCTAGTAATTCATCTGCATTGTCAATTCTTTCAGCATATTCTCCCACAATCCAAATCATAGCTGCTCGAGCATCGGGCTCATCCAAGGAATCTAAGTTCTCACAGAGTGTGGCAATGATACTTTCATACCTGATGCAACAAAATGGACTATGGTTACCAAAGGCAAAATGAAGAATTGTTTTTTTTTTTTTGGTGGTATTGGGGTTTGAACTCAAGGTTTTGTACTAGCTAGATAGGCACTTTACTACTTGAGTCACATCTAAAGTCTAGGAACTGTTTTTTTTTTCTTTTTATTTTTTATTTTATTATTCATATGTGCATACAAGGCTTGGGTCATTTCTCCCCCTGCCCACACCCCCTTCCTTACCACCCACTCTGCCTCCTCCCTCTCCCCCCCACCCCCTCAATACCCAGTAGTAACTATTTTGCCCTTATTTCTAATTTTGTTGTAGAGAGAGTATAAGCAATAATAGGAAGGAACAAGGGTTTTTGCTGGTTGAGATAAGGGTAGCTATACAGGGATTTGACTCACATTAATTTCCTGTGCGTGTGTGTTACCTTCTAGGTTAATTCTTTTTGATCTCACCTTTTCTCTAGTCTAGGAACTGTTTTTAATAGTGAAGGATAAAAGCAAAACCATAGACAAGGGTCCCCAAACCAAACCACCAAACTATAAAGGCTGTTAAGGTTGTTAGTCAAGAGACTGTATGGGCTGTCAGTCAGAAGTTTATAAATGCCTTAAACTTCCCACCAATTATATTTTAACAGCTAGGTCCTAAATCTTTATTGAAAAGACAAAAACAGGGCTGATGCAGTGGCTCATGTGGTAAAGCACCTGCCTTGCAAGCATGAGGCCCTGAGTTCAAACCCTAGTACCACACACACACACACACACACACACACACACACACGAAAAAAACAAAAAACAATTCATCAGATACCCATTTTGCTCTGGTTATTCTGGAGATGGAATCTCTCAAACTATTTGCCTGGGCTGTTTACCTTGATCCTCCCAATCTCAGGCTCTCAAGTAGCTAGGATTACAGGCATGAGCCATTGGCACTCGACCCTATTATAACATTTTCTTTCAGAAATCTCACTTTATTTTTAGGAAAATGAAATTATAGAACCTCAATGTCCAGAAGAAACTTTTTTTATAAGATACATTTATATTCTTTCTCTCTAAAGCACATACACTAACAACTTGTTTGCCCTAAGAAATTTGTAATTCAAATTTTTAGTTTTACAGATCTCGGTCATGTTTACCATGTTAAATTCATCTGCTTTGCTAATATAATTTTAAACATTGAAATGACACTGTTTAATAAGTTAGAGTGAATAGCTGAGTTACACACTTAATTGTCTGCCTTACTTTCATTGATTAAACCAGGCTCCCTTGTTTTCTTAAGAGGAAACTGTTATAACCCCTTACTAGCACAGACCAGACAGATTTCTTTATCAATCATTTTGAGATACACATCTCCACCTCTAGTCATAAAGTTTAAAACCTGATTCTTCTCTTTTCTTACTATAAACTAATAGTTTATGGTGTACTTTCCAAAAATGCCATTTCTAGAATTAAAAAAAAATGTAAAATATTTACTAAACCATTATCTTACCAAAATAGTTCTACTAATTCTTGAGCCCATCACTAAGTCCAACTTACTACGTTACTTCATTTAACACTATCTTTAAAGATGAATCAGAAGCTTCAACACAAAATATCTTTATTAGGCAAAATGAGATTTAGAATATTCACAAAACCTGCTTTTATTTATTTATTCATTTATTTACTTACCTACTTAGGTGGGACTGAGGTATGAACTCAGGGCCTCATATTTGCTAGGCAGGTGCTAGCACAATCTGCCAGCCATGTTTTTGTGTAGGACAATGTCAAGACAGGGTCTTGTGAACAATTTGCTTTCACAAATATTGGTCTGGCTTTGAACCACAGTCCTCCTAATCTCTGCCTCCTGAGTACTAGGATTATATGTGTGAGCCACCAACACCCAGCCTACAAAACCTGCACTTATTTTACAGATTACTTAATTGGTTGCTTCCAGAATCAAACATTAAAAAATACTTTTGGTTCATAAACTAAGAGACCTGAATCAGAAAGTTGTGTGAAGAGAAAAATGTAGATTTTTGTATATCCATGAGAGCAGCTATGACACCTCAGAAAGGGCTGGTAATTTATTGCTATATATTCTCTACTTTCCCACAAAGTAATAGTTCACATAGAAGGTAAACAGTACAACTGGTATTTTCCTGATTTTTAAGACAGGATAGCCACATGACTTGTCATACAAACTGAGACATTTCTGGGAGGAGAAAGTGCATAATGATTATTCATTATGTCTGGATAACAAGCATAAACTGAGATCCTGTCCAGATAATCTGGTATACCTAGGTTTCCTATTTAATGGTAACTTTGCCATCAAAGAATCTGATATGTTAAATTTATGCCAATAGACAGTACATACTCAAGGCAGGGTTTCACTACTTCTAAAAGTAATAAAGTACAGTGAAAACTGAGGTTTTAGGCCCTGTTAGCTAACTGCTTTATACATTTCTGATTTTTAATCAAGTATTCAATTATGACTGGTTAGAAAAGAATTAATTCTTACCTAGTCAATTTCAAAGTGCCTTCCTAAAATATTTCCTAAATGATCTAAAGAAGAGGATTAGAAGAATTTGAACATACTTGTTGGGATATTTGCGGAAGATGTCCCTTATGACAACAATTGCCTCCTGGACCACGTAATTTACTTTCGTCTGGATTAAATCAAGCAATGTGCTTACACAGCGTTCTGCAGATTGCTAGGAAGAGAAAGATAAAAAAATGAGATGATGTATACAATAATACTAACTTAACATTAAAATGAAACAGGTGCATCAACTAAGCTAAATGAACAGGTACTTAATTTGACCAAGCTATCCTATAGGTTAGGCTATCTGATGTATATCTACATCAGAAATTCTAGATATACACCAAATTTTATTCCTTACAGGGGCTGAGGTGTGGCTCAAGTGTTGTAGCACTTGAGTTCAAACCCTAGCACTGCCCAAAAAAAAAAAGAAAAGTTTTATTAATTACAAAATATACTTATAGGTGAATTTTTCTTTCTTTTTTGGTGGGACTGGAGTTTTGAACTCAGGGCTTCATGCTTGGCAGAGTAGGTGCTCTACTGCTTGAGCCACACCTCCAGAACATTTTGTCCAGTCTAGCCTTAAACCTCAGTTCTCCTGATAACTTCCCAAGTAGTTAGGTGTGAGCCACCAGCATCCAGCTTCTTTTTGTTTTTTTTCTTGGCAGTGTAGGGGTCAGGGCCTCATGCATGGTAGGCAAGCTACATCCCCAGCCCCCAAATGATTCAGTTTTAAATTAAAAAAAAAAAAAAATCCTGCATAGCTGGTAGAATCGAAATTAAGAAAAAATAAGCCAGGGCAGAAGGAAAGAATAAAAATTGAAGAACAAGCCAAAGTCTTTAGAGTTCTTGGATGAGTATAAACAGCACAGAGTATCTCTAAACCTCCTGAAATGAATTGCCAAATGTTGTATGAGCATACAAGTATGTTTTCCAGCTTTCATTTTATTTTCAGTTACCCATGATCCAAAACAACAACACCAAAAACCAGCTGAAGAGCTACTAGACAATATGCCATTTGTATGACTATATAATTTAAGTCTATGGCCTTAGACAAACTATATTCATAGCCTACAATTCAGCCATAAAATGGAGTTTAATCTACTAATCTTTTACTAATAAGAAGAATGTGGAAGAATACAAAGTGTCAAAACAAATGTTTAAAAAATGTATTGACATTGTGATAGTTTTTTAAAAGGAGAAAATTCTATGAGATCCTAAAAATCACAGACCAATCTAGCATATATTACAATGTAGTATTATGGGTTACCTCCTAATGTGCATCTTGCTAAGATGCAACAGAAAGTACACAGCATCACCTAAAAGGTACTTTTGCCAAAAACTCTGAGCATGAATATTACTAAACCTCTAGATTTAAGTAACTAAAAGTAATAGAGGAATAAGATAAATAGTATGACTAAAATACAACAAATCAAATCCAGTCTCTGGGAAAGTCTATAAGCCTAATAAACCTTCAATAAGTGGTACCAAAATAGTAAAAAGACTTAAGAAACATACTAACCAAATGCCATCATTGGACCTGGTTTATATTTTGATTTGAACAAGGCAAGTGTAAAAAGACATTCTGACAACAATTAAGGAACATTAAACTTGGACTGGGTATTCAATGAGATTAAGAATTACAGTTAGTTGCTGACATGACAATGATACTGTGACAATATTTTTTTAAAGGCCCCTGGAGGGGAGAGGGAGAATATACAATGGGAACAGAAAATTTCTTTAATAAAAACAAAATTGCATCTTGGTATCACTTTTATAAGGTCATATATGATTCAGTTTGCACCATGAAATGGTTCTGCAATTTTTTTTTTTTGGGGGGTGCGGGGTTTGAACTCCACCTTCAGCCACTCCACCAGCCCTCATTTGTGATGGGTTTTTTTGAGATAGGGTCTCTTGAACTATTTGCTTGGGCTGGCTTTGAACCATAATCCTCCTGATCTCTGCCTCCTGAGTAGCTAGAATTATAGGCTCAAGTCACTGGCACCTGGCAATTCTGCAATTTTATTTATCTCCTCTATTTTAATTATTTTTAGCTAATAATTCCTATTATTACAGCAGCAAGAGTTAGAAAAATTGATGGATGCCAGTGGCTCACTCCTATAATCCTAGTTACATGAGGCTGAGATCAGGAGGATTGTGGTTCGAGGCCAGTCCGGGCAATTACCTCGTGAGACCCCATCTCAAAAACAAAACAAAACAAAAAACAGAACAAAGCTGGGTGCCAGTGGCTCATGCCTGTAGTCCTAGCTACTTAGGAGGCACAAAGCAGGAAGATGGTGGTTCAAAGCCAGGCAGTGTAAATAAGTTTGTGAGACTTATCACAAAAATACCCAACAAAAAACAGGGCTTCAGAGTGGCTCAAGTAGTACAGCGTCTACCTAGCAAGCATGAACCCCTGAGTTCAAACTCAGCACCACCAAAAAAAAAAAGAGAGAGTTGGAAAAATTATAATTTACCCATAACATATTTAAAAGTTTGTAGGCTATGGGCTGCTGTAAGGACTGAAGCATCATAAACTGGAAAATAGAAATAAGTACCAAACATAATACATATTAGTGAATCCTTGGTATTATTATACCAAAGGTAAACAAAAGGCTGTTTTTCATAATGTATCAACATTTGAGAGCATTTATATCCGTGATACTATTTTCTAGCAAATTCTTACCAATCATATTGTTTTTAAATAATAAAAAAGTAACATAAAGCAGAATGGCAGAGAGGTAAGAGTAAGCATTCAAAAACTGTATACCTAAAAGTCCAGAAATGAATATATACATAAAATTGAGTGTATGATAAAAATAACATTTCCTAACAGCAAAGAAAGGGTGATTTGTTCCGGTTTGATCCGCCCCACTAAATTCTTTCATCAAAAATTATTTCCAGATTGCTTAAAATTATCTTCAAGCTAATAAATATAATCACTGCCATAAAAGAGAAATTAAGGTGATATTAATATAATTTTGAGGTGAAGCCCAACTTTCTACGTGTATGCCACTTGAGAAAAAAAATACCTGCTAGAACTCACTACATAAGAAAATGTAAACTGTGTATCAAAAAAAGAAAAAAGGAAAATAAATTGGGAAAATTAATGCTAACTAAAGAAAAGTTAATGTCCTTAAAAAACTGACTTGGAAAACATAACATTTTGGAGAAAGTTACATAATATGTGAGTGAGTAAGTGATTCCCAAATAGTTCATCTCGACCAGAGTTGGAAGATTTGGCTACAAGGATACTCCGTATACTATTATTTGAAAAGAGAAATAACTTTAAAAGTCCTACAATAAGGGAAAGACTAAATAAATCATGAAGCAAACACACACACATTATGTCTACAAATAAAACCAGAAACAAAAAGTCATGTAAAATTTTACTAGTAATGTGGAAATATGTCCATGCTGCAATCATTTTAAAAAGCAGATTACAAAAGTAAACATAAAAGCATTCGTAGTATAATCTCATTTTTACAAAAAAAAATCTGTGTACATACAGAAGACTATATAAACAAGGATTTAAAATCGTACCTGCTCAAGCATGTACAATGAAAAGGTAGAACAGGATGGGCAAGAAGAGCAGGGGCAGGAGGATTGAAAGTTTGAAGCCAGCCTGAGCTGCAGAGTGAGAACTTTTCTTAAAAGAACAAGAACAAAAAGGTAAAAGTTACTGGAAAAAACAGTACTATGGGATTGCTTTTTCAGTGCCATTTGGTTATGGCTTAATAATTAACCTAACCAACTTAATACAACAAAATTATACTTTTATTCACCTCATGATATGTATGTATATATTTTTAGTACTGGAGTTTGAACTCAGTGCCTACACCTTGAGCCACTCCACCAGACCCTTTTTTTTGTGATGGGTTTTTTCGACATAGGGTCTCCTGTACTATTTGCCTTGAAGGCTTTGAACCACGATCCTCCTGATCTCTGCCTCTCTAAGCAGCGTCTAGGATTACAGGCGTGAACCACGGGTGCCTGGCACCTCATGATACTTTATAACACAGAAACACCCATATTTACTGTCTTAATAACAATACCAACTTTAATTCCTACATCTAAATTCCCAACAGACCCTGTTCTCTTAGCTGGCTTCTAAACTAAATTTCATATATACTTATTTGTCCTATCTTTGAAACCAAATGCACATTTTAAAACAGATGAGATGCCTGAAACAAAGCAGCAGGTCAGTTTAGAAGCTATACAGAATGTTTTTTAGAATTCTTTGCTGCTTCTCCTTGTCCCACAGATGACTTTGTTACAAAAAAACAAAACAGTCATTGCCTTGCCTGCCCTAGTTAACTGTGTCTGGGCTAGGCAACTCTTTGAAACTTTTAATTTTTACCTGAAACAATTCTAGGAAGAGTTCTAAGCCAAATCCAGATAACTTGAGATGAGAATGCTAGATAAAGGCAGAATTCTTGAAAGGTCACATTAAGTTTCCTGAGAAAGTTAATTCCCACATTCTCTCATTCTCCCAACAAAACACTAGTCAAAGGAAAAAGTGAAAACTATCAGAGGGTTGTCTTTTCTGGAAAATTGTGGAGAACCTTGCATTAGTCAGAATGCATGACACTAAGCCTCCAGGAATCTAAAGCTTTGAGAATACTTTCTAGTAATTTCAGGGCCAGAAAATCTTTTAACTTTGGAATGGAATATAAATTTTGTACTACTCCTTAAAGCTTTGTCAAAGAAGTAAAGAAGGCAATGACAGCTGGGTAGAAAAGATGGTTATGTACACAAGAACAAAAAGTGATGATTCCTAGACTACCAAAATCTCTGTAAACTGTATTAGTAGTAAGTAAATAAAAGAAAAGCAAAGTATGTGAGGTGTGATGATAAAAATGATGTATTAGATTCAATAAACAGGCTTTCCCACTTCTCAAATGAAACTACAGAAATGTATTAAACATCTGAAGAACCAAGAGTAGAAACCAGGACTGACTATATAATACAGCTAAATGATTCATCAATAGTAACTACATGAAGCACTATTAACTTGAAGAAAAACAAGGCCAAATAAAACTTGGACTTCATAGAAACTTCTCTGACATAGCACCTGTCTATTTTTTCCCATGAAGTACTGGTCATACTGTACAAATTGTTTCAGTATCCACAAGAAGCCATAAGGTCCAACCTTCTTACTCTAAGCAGAATTGCATAAAATCAAGTAGCCATGAACAAATAATTATGGGCTCTGAACTTGGAATAACATTTAACAGAAGCCATCATTAATTTAAAAAGATTTCTGGATGAGGAAAAGCAGATGGAAGACTGGTGACTTAAAAAGCAGGGCAAAATAAATTACCATAATATTTATTGTAGTTGCCTTTAACGCAGAGAAACTAAAGCAGATACCTTAAAAGCAACTGAGGCCAATAGGAAAAGGGGACCAGGAACTAGAGAAAAGGTTAGATCAAAAAGAATTAACCTAGAAGGTAACACACACGCACAGGAAATCAAAGTGAGTCAATGCCCTGTATAGCTATCCCTTGTTCCTTCCTATTATTGCTTATACTCTCTCTACAACAAAATTAGAAATAAGGGCAAAATAGTTTCTGCTGGGTATTGAGGGAGTGGGGGGAGAGAGAGGGGGCGGAGTGGGTGGTAAGGGAGGGGGTGTGGGCAGGGGGGAGAAATGACCCAAGCCTTGTATGCACATATGAATAATAAAAGAAAAAAAATAATATTTATTGTAAGGCTGCAGCAAAGACAGAAAATAATTATGCTCTAAGACCAGAGGGTTCTTTAAGAGGCCTTCCAAGTAAAGAACTCCCTGTCCTGGAACAGAAACCTGCTTGTCAACAGCTCTGCCTACATATAGGGAAGTCCTAATCAATTTTTCTGTTACCTCATTCTTAAATCTAAATGGGCTGCACTTTACTGTAGGCATAATATACATCTCATATAAAAATTATGTACAAGCAATCACCATCATGAAATGCCCTAGACAGTGAAATTTAAGATGCATAAGTGGAACAAAAACTGTAATTTATACCCACAGAGATTCAAGAAACTATTGCAACCACAAAGGGGAAAAAAAGTACAAATAATAAATAAGCAGCAGCAATGAAGGGAGGCTATCTGGAACAATGCGCAGAAGCCATAGAGCAATCAGTCAGACTGGAGGAGAGAAGAGTCTAAGACAAAAAGAGGTTTACAGATCTGATATTATGCCTGAGGAACTGAAAAAAGATAGGGGTGCAATGATACACAATGCAAAACAAAACAAAACAAAAAAAAACAATTAAAGAAACTTCAGAAGAAAACAAAATTCTGTAAGATGATACAATCATTCACACTACCTCAATACATTTACATAATGTGCATATGTTTTGCAAGTCTATAGTTGAATGAACAAGGAATAAAGGCATATGATCTTAATTTACAAAGATAACTACCATCTAGAACAAAACCTTATGATATAACCACACTGGAAAATAAGAGAGAGAAGTGGGAATGGTAAGGTATATGAACTCAGCTTCTTATCTTATAGCAGAAAGTTAAAAGACAGAGCTGGGTATGGTGGTTCAAACCTATAATCCCACTTAGGAAGCTGAGATAAGAGGACCGTGATTTCAAGGCCAGTCTATGCTACATAGTGAAAAAAAAAAAGGGTTATGAAAGTATCAAAAGATTAACCAAACCCAAAAACACAGTTAAAAATCCTTTCTTCTGGGAAGAGGGTCTTGGTAGGGAAAGGAGAACCAGGAATAGCAGTATTTCATTAACAATTCTTTAATCTATTAACTATGTGCTTTCTTAGTTTGATAATGTTAAAATTTTCAAGTATAGGAGTGAAGCAAACACTCAGAATCCCGTAAGATGTGATTTCTACTCCCATTGGACACTTACCTCCACCTTGATGGCACATCGTCCAATGGCCCGCACAGCTTTGCGAACAAAGTCAACATCCACCTCAGTGGCATATTCCTTCAGTTCTGCCAGAACCTGTCAAATGTCCAGGAAGTGGATAAACATTAAGGATTCTCAAACATTCAATCTCATGGCCTAACTTCTTCTGACGGTCAGATCTTAAGCTCTAAGCATCATAAATTTGAGACTGTGTGAACCCTGACCTGAGCAATGTTGGCTTGGGATGCCAGACGAATCATGATGTCCAACTTCTCTAGTTTAACATAGATAGGATCATTGTACTTCACAAAGAAGACTTTTATTTCTTGCTTCAAGATTTCAGGCCTGTGGTTCACAGAAACACAAAAAAGGAAAGTGAAGTTACATCCTTCTGAGTCTGTATTAATATATAATCAATGCCTCTCTAACCTCCTACTCCCTCCATGAGAAAACTCACAAACTTCTTCTACTGTATTTATTTTTTTTTCCTTCTAATGTTGGGAATCAAACCCCAGGCCTCATACATTCTAGGCAAGCACTGAGCTACAGCCATAGTCCCTCTATTCTTATCAGTTCCATTTGGCAAACTGTTTTTATCCTTACTACATGTTGTCATGAAGAACTCCTGGATTAAGAACAATCTAGGTCTAAATTATAGCCTGTGTTATCAGAAATAACTAAATATAACTAAATTATTGTTAGTGTATCAGAAAGAGATCCTTCAGAACACAAACTGGACTGTAGAGCAATACCAGACATTTACTATAGAAATGCACTGTTGTCAACTATAAGCCCAATGATTCTGGGCAGTTATTCAACTATGTAACATTTTCATTTCCAAATAGTAAAAAGAAACTGACATTGGCCTATTGCACATTTATATTATGAAGCTTAATTCAAAATTATGAACACTTTAAATCACTAATTCATAATTTTCCAACCTTTTCTGGACAATTAGGTTGATGTTCCTCAGGGCAACATACTGCACTTCGGGCTCCCCAGATAGAAGAGTGACAAGTGGGGGAGCTAACTTCTTCAGCAGCATACTGTAGTAGTCAGAGTCCTTGGGTAACAACTCTAGAAATTTCATTAGGACTTTTACCGCTGAAAGCACCACTGCTGAGTTGGCATGGGACAACCGGGGAGTTACCCGCTCACAGATGCTGGGGGCAGAAAAGGAAAATTATTATCTTGGATTATAATTTCTTTGTACAATCTACTCTACAAGGTAATGTTTCAGAGTCCCACGGCCCAAATACCAAGAAATTAAAGAATCAGTTAGAAAAGTCAAATCTCCACACTCAGACCAAATTGGGATCCAACACTGCAGAAGCCTCATGCCCAGCAAACTACAGGCAGAGCAGGAACAACAGAAGATTTTAGGAAACCATCAACAGGGGATGTTCAAACTGGAAGGGAACTAGCAATAACTCAAACACTTGAGCTCACACCAGTTACCTTCTTATTTTATAGTCCACTTTGTCTCCCCATATTATGTTAGGGCTCCCTGCCTCACAGCTCATTTCTACTCAACCTATAGGAAGTCAAATTAAGCACTCTGAGAATTATTTCATAGTGAGAAGAGATAGCAATCCACCTGTGACTTAAGGTTTCATTGTAAGGTATAGGAGGAGGTGAGTTGTCAGGAAAAATTACCCAACCTACTGCTTTCAGGACAATAAGGGAAGCTATGAAAGGGGTTTGTTTTTTTAAATGTCAGAACACCGTTGCAATATTCTCCCAACTTCTTCCACTCTCCTAGCCCCTGTCACCTATGTTTAGATGCCTCATGAAATTTTAGATATTTAATTACCCATGCACTATTAAATGAAATTAACCTATAATTTTGATAAGCTGTTAGGCAACACAAGTAGCTGCTCACTATATTAAAGATACAAGATAAGTGGGTGGTGTTACTCTCTCTCCTTCCTGTATGTAGTTGGCTGACTCCTTACCTCCTTCAAGTCTTTATACAAATGCCACCTTCTCAATGAGACCTTTCCTGACCATACTTTTTTTTGGGGGGTTACTTTCTTACTGTGTGTGTGTGTGTGTGTGTGTGTGTGTGTGTGTGTGTGTAGTGCTGGGGTTCAAACCCAGGGCCTGAGCTATCTCCAGAGCACACTAACTACCCTTTTTAAAAAGAACATTGCCTCACTCTCAAATGCCCAGAATTTCTTAGATCTCTTCCTTACTTTACCTTTGTTAGCACTTATTATCATCTGACATATTATATATTGTATTGAATATATAAACTCCTACTCCTATCCCTCAGACTAAGTGCTCCACAAGGGCTATGATTTTTGTATGTCCACTGCTGTATTCTCAGGGTCTAGAACAGTGCCTGGCACACAGCATGGGCTTAAGAAATGTTTGCTGAATGAATGATTGAGTGTAATGTCAATGACCAACAACAGAAAATAAAATTCCAGATAAAGTTCTTTCCAGAATATATTTGTGCTTTCAATGATGGAAATAAATTATTAGGGGCTTTACTTTAGTCCAGAGGGAATAATTTCCCAGACAAGCAAAGAGCACTTACATTCTAGTAGCTTGGAAATCAGCTTCAGCCAGGCAAGGAAGATTCTTATCTACCATAATTAAAATATGTCAACTTTAATGAAGAGCCAACATTTCTTCAGAAGTACTTTGCCTAGTACAGTGCTTATATATATAAAATGTTCAATAAAAATTGGAGATAACTCCAACTTTGTAAACTAAAGTGTATGTGTGTGTAGATGAAATTAAGTGGTCAATTTCTCATAGTCACAGAAAACTGGCAACACTAAGGTGGTAAAGGACTAAGCAAACAATCAAGATGTGCCTTTCAGAATTTCCAAATGCGGACTGACATGACTTTTCTTTATAGCAGAAGCGGCATAGATTTTTCTGACTTTAGCATACTTTCTCTAGTTCTAAATTATAGGTATTCAGCTCAATCAGTAATATGAAGCCACTTACTATGTATCTAATGAATAGTGCTGTCACTAGGGGAGAGAGAGAGTCAATAACCTTTACCAAATGGCCAAGAACTGGGAGATGGGAGACAATGATGAGGCAGATTTTAGCCAAGGGGGCAATACTGTTCAAACAAGAAATGAAAAACATACGTTTCTTAGAAACAGCTATTTTTGTTTATTCCACCACCTACTGTGTTCCTAAATCAGTGAGAAAAAATCTTAAGGATAGCAAAGTCTATCCTTAAAACAATCAATCCACTAACCTTCCTCAATCTAATGTACAAGTCTTATCCTAACAGCAAACACTAGAACTTATTTGATCAGGCAAGACTATCAGATATTATCCTGGAAAAGACTGACCTCTGAGCTTCCCGGTCATCTTTAGGATTGTAATTAGACAGGCAGTCCAGGATGAAAATCTGGCCCCATTCGGTGCACTCATTCAGGGCTGTCAGCAGCTTATTAATATTCTGTGGGTTTAGATCGAGTAAGTTGCTATTTGGGTGAGACTCACTGATTTCAGACAATGCTGCTACAGCATTAGCCACCACCTGAGAAAGAAACATATCATTTACATACACAGAACAGCACAGCTCTAACATTTTACCAACCTTTGCAGGATCTCAACTTATAATCATTCTTGAACATTTTAGCTAGTCAGAAAGAAACACAGAAACTGCTTTCAGAACATATATTAAGCTACTAATGATAGCAAATATAGCTTCCTACTGGCCAGGCACTCCAGAATTAAAGCAATTAATATATTACCAGAGTCACAGATGATTTACTATTAAAACATACATTAACTGTTCTAATCATGCCCAAAACTATCAATAAAATCAAGACATAAGAACAGCTTTAAAAAGTGAAGTCTAGGCCAGGTGCTGGTGGTTCACACCTGTAATCCTAGCTACTCAGGAGGCAGAGATCAGGAGAATTGCAGTTCAAAGACAGCTAGGGCAAATAGTTCAAGAGATCCATCTTGAAAATACCCAATGCAAAAAAAGGGCTGGCAGAGTGGCCTGGAGGTACACATCTGTAATCTTAGCACTTGGGAGGCAGGAGGATCACAAGGTCAGACCAGCCTGTACTACCTACAAAGAAAAACTGTCTCAAAAATGAAGAACCCAGAACAAATAACATAATAGCAATATCCATTATTATGTAAAGGATAATGATGGCAGAAACAGAATTATCTCAAGCTTTAATGTAGTGATCAGAACAAAGATTCCTAGATGAAAAAAATCTTCAAAACTCATTTGGTAAGTATGAAGACAGATTTTTATTGTTATGAAGTGAAATCAAGATCTACTGAGTGGGGGATGGAGGAATGGTTCAAGTAGTAGAGTGCCTACCTAACAAGAACAAAGTCCTGAGTTCAACCACCAAAAAAAAAATGTAGTGAGATGGCAACATATATCAGGTTCTTTTCTTGATTTTGTTTGCTAATTCCATCATCAAGCATGATATTTAGTAAAAACTAAAAGGCGTAAGAGTGAAACAATAATCCCCTCCATGAGCTTTGGATGCAGGGAAAAATATTTTATTTCCAATACACAGTACATTTGATTGACTATATTTTAGTACAAGAAAAATCAAAATGTCATATTGGAAGACCAAATGCCTATTCCTATCTATATCATGCCCAATTTACCAACAGTCCAAAAATGCACCCACCACAATTACCATTTCTGTCAGTGAAACTCTTTTGTGTATGTGCTTAAAGTTAAATATAAGGTCTAGTAATAGGAAATGTAGAAGAGAAAGTAAGAATTAGGGGGACTAAAAAAAGCAATGGAGAGAAGAGAATGATGTTAAACAAAATGAGCAATAAGAAGCACTCTGCTATCATCAGTATAAGCAACTGGAAATTAAACCATGTGTATAATGCAGCTAATGAAGTATAAGTTCATGTTTAAACAGGCAATTTCCGTTTATTATCATATTAAAACAAGAAAATAAAAAGGGAAAAGTCAGTCTAATTAAAACATGATCCTCTATCACAGTTTGAAGCCAGCCCAGGCAAATAGTTTGAGAGATCTTATCTCAAAAAATATCCCAACACTCACACAAAGGGCTGGCTGAGTGGCTCAAGTGGTAAGAGCACCTGCCTAGCAAGTGTGCAAGTATAAGTCTATGTTCAAAACCCAGCATCACAAAAAAAAGAAAAAAAAAAAGTCGATCCTCTGATTAGATCAGAGGATTATGTTGAAGAAAACCTGCTGGAGAGAGCAGATCACTGCCAAGTCCCCAATGCAATGAATGATCAGAGATGCTCTCCAACTCCTGTACCAAACCTGTTTCTCTAAAACTCCTTCGATTCCTCACGCTCCACCTAATGTTCACATTTAGAAATGCTGAGGCAAGCCCATGAGGGAATACTTTAAACTCTCTTGGTCAGAAAGTCCTACTTCCTTCAGTCTAATAGAAGCTTGAAATAAATTAGTCGCACTGAATCTGAGTTAAATGAAGAAAAGGATTGACCTCAAGATAGCAAATGGGTGGCTAGTGTACATCGGACCACTTACTTGTCGGTGCTTATGCTATGTTTCTTAGGAATTTTGTATTATGTACATATTCCACCTGTTTTTAAAAATAATAGACTGAAACTTTAAAGTTCACGTCCTCTTCCCAGAGCCTTTTCCAAACAACAATACACAGTAAGCATGGGATTTAGTAAAAAATCACCAAAGAACAAGTTCAACACTTACAGTAACTTCTTTAACTTCCTTGAATAGTAAAACAAATGTGGGTTTCTTTCATTTGAAGCATCACTTTAATTTTGAACAGTTAGAATAACCAGGTGTAACATTTTCCCCCTAGGAAACTGATATTCTCTTAGGAAACACTGCTATAATCTCAGAAAAAAATTAGTTTCCAAGCAAAGAAAAAGGAGGAGTTTCCAAAGAAAGTGTTTTGCTTTAACAATGAATTTATAAATAGCATTTTTCAATACATAATTGACTTAGAAATAGTTGGTCTCTAGGTTGCAAAGGAATACATCCATAGTATAAAACAAAAAAATCAAACTCGCCTTTTTATTCACTATGTTTCCTAATTATGCTATGTTCTAATCTTTTGGAAACAGCAACTAAACATTCCCCACTCCTCACCCTTCAAAGAGCTAATGCAATATAAATACAGAAATTAAATGCTTTCATAAAAATCATACTGAATCCTAGACAAATCTTTATTGACTTTAACCACAGACTTATCTACTATCTGGTAGCTATCATGCATACTTGGAGTCTGTTTATTTTTTATTTTTTAAAGATAAGCAGTTTGTATTTTTGACTTACTTTATATTATACCTAAAGGAGTTGTACAAAGTGATAAAAGACTATAATAGCTAAAATTCATTGAACACTTACTATGTGCCAATAATCCTCATTAAAAACTGAGGTAATTGCTAATAAAATCTGTACCTATTAAGTTAAGACAACAGACTCAGAGAGGTTCAGACTTGCTTAGGGTCAATACAGCTAGAGATACTGCTTGAATATAAACTCAAGGCGTTTGTCTGATTCCAGTGTACTAATCACTCTTGCTTCACATATCTACAGAAGTCCCACGATATGTGAAATTCAACTAGGAGAAAGGGAAAATAAAAGCAGGATGGGAGAAGGATGATAATCAAAATAGTATTTCTAGGCAAAGGTGACATGCAGATTTATACAAGGAAAAAAATACATTCTTCTACTTTATTTCAGAGGTAATCATATCCTAGCAGTACTTATAGAGGCAAGAGTTACTATCTAGCTACAAAATCTGATTTATCAGCTATATCTATCTCATATGCAGAAGTCCTGAGTACATAAATTTGACCTCAGGTTTTTGTTTTTTCTTAAAGGAGCAAGCTGGAGCAGTGAATATGGTTACAATAAAAATGATTCTGTAGAACAGGCCTCTAGAAGAAAATCTTGATACACACTTGGAGTGGAATATCACAGAAGCTTGTTTATGAGAAAGCTCTCACACATTTCCTTGCTCTGCATTTTAATTTCACTCTTTTTCATAAACTCAGAACCCAGGAAACATCGTTCTCCAGTACAGTGAGTTTCTATTACATAAACTACTATTTTGGGGGCTTTGATTTCCAGCCATGATCTTCAAGGTCACATACACTCCAGAAAGACTTTCGGCTTCAGTTTTTCTATTCAATTTATAATTTTTTGGCTGGTGTTCCTAATGACTTGAATTAAGTGAAAGTAGTAGAATAATTGACCAAAACTATGATGAAGAAATACATAGGTACTTAAATATTTTTATTCTCTTAAAAATCAGCAACAATTTGGAATCCTGCCATCTCTTTTACACTACTACTGTTTTTTTTCTAGCAGCAGTGGGGTTTGAACTCAGGGTCTCATGCTTGCTAGGCAGGTGCTCTACCACTTGAGCCACTCTGCCAGCTTGCCATCTCTTACAGAGATGCTTCAAATGACATGTAAAGCACAGGCCAACATATTATTATCGGCCTTCATTCATTACGCTCTTCTCATGGATACAACTGTGACCATGCAGTACCAGTTAAATATTTCTCCCTCTCAAACAAATAGGATGTAGAGCTTATTCTGTAAACCAAAACACTGTCCAGGAATGCCAATAGTATGCCTACCATATTACATTCTACAATATTCCATTTTTTCCCTCCCTTCTTCCATGGAATGAGAGCTAAAATTATCTAGTTCAGCCAACACAACTCATTATGGTAACAGAATTTGATTACATGTTAACGAGTAAGATTTACAAATAATAAAGTTCATCTGAATGATTTAAGATATAGTCTGACAAAATGCAAATATTCTTAAAGACAAAACACCACAAATAGTGTCTATCAATAAACAATAAACACTACCCTCCTGTCTGTAATCCTAGTGACTTGGGAAGCTGAGATTGGGAGGATTTCGTTTAGAGACCAGTCCAGGCAAATAGTTCGTCGTGAGACCCCCATCTCTGAAATAACCAGAGCAAAATGGACTGGAGGTATGGCTCAGGTGGTAGAGACTCCTTGGCAAATATGAAGCTCTGAGTTCAAATCCCAGTCTCACCAAACAAACAAAAGAGCACTACCTGAAGAATCAAAGAGTCCCTCAGTTCACATACCACAAAGTTCCTTTAAGCATGCTATAATGTGAATTAAAAAAAGCATTCATTATCACTCCACTTAAGATTTCCCTTTTGAGGGTAAAGTATTCCCCTGCCAAATTAGAGCCTTGAGATTATCTTAAAGAAAAGAAGAATGAATCTTGAACTTTTGAAGTGCTGGGGGTTAAACCCAGGGCCTAGCAAACATTTGCACTATACCTCTATTGTTTTGTTTTTGTCTGAGATAGGGTCTTGCTGAATTTTGCCCATGATGTCCTCGAACTGTGCAATCCTCCCATCTCTGCCTCATACACTGCTGGCATTACAGGCATGCATTATCATGATGTTAAAAATTTAATATTTAAAAAATTAAAAAATAAAATTTGCCACTGAAAGATTAACCTTTCTAAAATTATTAATATCTAGCACCACAATCTATATAATAGAAAATATATTTCTATACAAC